CACTATAAAGAATCTTGTATTGCAGTAATTGTTCAGTGCCTCACTCCCCAGTGAGACTTTGGGATACTCAGGGAAACGGACCAATTCATGTCTTTGCCCCCCATTTGTCTGATGTGTGGCATATAGTACGTGATTCTTGTGTGTTTATTGAAATGAACATATAATCACTATGGGATGGCAGAGAGGCCAAACAACTGAAGATGTGAGACTTTTAGAAGGACCTTAGAGGTCACCCAGAATAATGATTTCTACTGCTGCATATTAGTATATTTCAGTACTGTTAGTGTAAGTTTGAATATTTGTTATAGTTTCATATTCTGTCTCTTACCCAGGAAGAGAGTGTCTTTTTTTGGGTAGGAACTTGGGAATCTGAATGTTTATTCATTTCGGTGGGAGATTTTTAATTGCATCTTGGCCTTTTGGCTAAGATCAAGTGTAGTATCTGTGGGAAATTTTTGGTGACTAGTATAGTATTTTCCTCAGACATTCCATTTTATAGATGGAGAAGCTGACACACAGAATGCCATATTATCCCAGAATCAGAGAGTTTAGAAGTGACAAAGTAAGGTTAGAGCTCAGTTCTATTAAAGTCTAGGCCTCTGGGTTATAAAGAGGAATTTTGGATTGTATGCAAAGGTTAGATAACATGATTCCCAAGTTAACTAGACAGTTAGTCTTCAGAGAGTTGTTCTGAGACAGCTAATGAACTCTTTTTTTTTTCCCCCCTGGGATGTCCAGACAAAGGTCATATGGATCTTTTCCTTGTAGGAATTTTAAATGTGGAACAAGAAAGAAAACCTATACACAGATAAATACTGGAGAACATGGCAAGTGACAAAGTCAGATCTGTGGACAGCTTCCCATGCAGTATAAAATAAACTGCTTGGCCGCCATCTTGTTTTCTGAATTATGGGGAAATTTCACTCTTACCGGGGTGACCTGTGTCGTTATGGTTGTTCATGTCCTGCTCTCCCACAGAGGAGAACTAAATAGACACTTGGTCCAGAGTTTATTGTATAGGTCATTTGATCACTTTTAGAAGACCTCACTTTCTATTATCATTATTAACATCAGTTGCAAATTTTCCTTATCCAGTAACACATTTAATTATTATTGCCAATGCTCATTGAAATAGCTAATATTAACTAATATTTATTGAATACCCACTCTGTGCTAGGTACTGTTTTATGGATTTATTTGTATTAATTTGTTTAATTCTTTGTCAAAGGAAAAAGACACTTTTAAAATCTTTAACAGTATTTCAAGCTGGATTTATTATTTGTCAAGTAAGGGAGAGAGAGCTATGACTCTTTTTGAACAGAGCAAAGGTCATTCATCATTCTTGAATAGAGTTTTGGGAGACACGGAGTTGAGGAATTGGGGGATGTGCAGAAGTGAGAGTGCTTAGGAATGACGTGACTGGCTCTCAGACGGAAGTGGGATTGCTGGGGTTAGCCTTGTTGGTGGACTAACTTTCAGGGGTCAAATGACTGGCCAAGGGAAAAGGAGAGGATGCAAAGAGTAGTGCAGAGAGAAGTTTAGGAGAGAAAGGAACCTTCCTTGCATGGTTTCCTTTAGTAATCCAGTGTCCACAACCTCGAGTGTGTCTGCTGACTCTGTTCCCAGGTTCTGCTTCTGTGCCCGTTGGCTCTTTTCTAGCCCATCGGCTGTGTTTTGCATTTACTCCATCACTTGCAGAAGCTACTTCCTGCTTGGATTAGGTGTGGTCTTCTCCTCATGGGGGCAAGGGGATCAGGCATTTGTTTGTTGAGATAAGGAGCCATGAATGGTTGGAGCAGGAGAGTCATCATGTGATCTGACCTAGCTCATCAAGGGACTATTGGAGCTCCTGTGCTAAGAACAGCCCATGTGGTGCTGGGTGGAGGCTGAGGTTAGTTGGAAGGCTACTGCAGTGGTCAAGCATTGGTGGTTTGGACTAAGGCAGAAGGGGGATAAGGGTGATGAAAAGGATTCCAATTGTGTACATATACTTCATGGAAGATTCCTCCAGTGAAAGGCTACACTAATACCAGTATAAACTCTTGCAGTTTTAATAAACTTCCTGGTCATGTATCCCCAGAAGACTGCAGTATAGCCTTTTAATGTCTGTAGAGCGTGTCTCCACCTGGGCCAGTGCAGGCAGAAGCAGAGGCTTGTTGTGACAGCTGGCAATAGAATATAATGGAACTATTCAGCAAAAGGGCATAATCCAAACCCCAATTTCTATAGGTTTTTAAATAGTTTTTTCTCCTAGATAACTGTGTGAACTATAGAGATTTACTTAATTGATTGAGATGGAGATAGCAATGATTTAAATTTCACTGGTATTCTGAGTATAAGTGGGTGTTTGACATTTTAAATTTTATCTTGAGAGAGAGAGACAAAGACAGAAAAATGACAAGGATGTGTTTCTGTGTTTGAGACAGAGCGAGGGAGAGAGAGGCTCTTGAAAGGCTAAAAGCTGCTGTTACTCCCAGGTCAATAAAAGCCTGAACTCCTACTAATGAGGTTTAAAATCCCTAACTTTTTCTGTGTACTTAATAATAGCACTGCCTACTGACATAATCAGGGTTCCCAGAATAATTGCCCTCTTTCTCAATTTATTTTTAAGACCTAAAAATCTTTTTCTTTTTTGAAGGGAAAGTACCTTCAGATGCAGAGCATTTCCATGTAAATGCTCAATTCTAGGGCTTCAACTTTTGGTCCTAAACCATGTTAAGTGGAGTCTTTCAAGTGGAGGATAAATGAAAGTGAAGGGTGAAGCTGAAATCCGTCCCTGGTGCTCTGAAATGTTCCTCCTTAGTGAGAAGATACAAGATTGATCCTTTTCTGAAGACTCCATCTTTCCTAAATTGGAATCTCCCTATGATGTTTTTATCTGGTACCTTTGTAGACATCATTTTTGTTTGTCAATAATAGAACTAAAGAGTTTATAAACTGTAGAATTTTATCAGAACATTTAACTATGAGGAGAAAATGATCAGAAGCATAAATGCTAATACTATGAGACCCCACCAGTAAGAATAGAAATATTTGAAATATATATTTAGAAAGTTTTAAAAATAAACCATCGATATGTTTAGGTGAACTTAAAATATAGGGCAGGGCTGGGGATTTGGCTCAGTGGTTCCACTGCCTGCCTCGCAAGCGCAAAAGCCTGAATTCGATCCCCAGTACCAAAGAAAAGGGTGCTTTGAGAGGTCAGAGCTATAAAATACTTTATAAATTGTTTCAGTAAATTTCTGTAATTAAATGAACTTGTACATTATAAGGAGAGAGATTGATAAGAGAAAGAGAATGTGATCTGATCCAATCAAGGCAAATACCGGTCAAACGTCTGGAGTACGTTTCCAGAGTTATTTTTGTGGAGGGTTATTTTGGGTAAGCAGTAACCTTTCTTCTCAGATACAGATTTCCCTGTTAAGTTTTTAGCCTTTAGTCACTGACAGTTGTGCTGTCCCGAGAATGGTTCCTCCTCCTGCCTGTATTTAAACTGCACAGTGAAGTTTAAAGGCACTGAAGACAAATTTGCACAAGCTGTCGTACACTCACTTTCCTGTTGTCCTGTCTGCAGGGAACAGCTGTTAGATTCAGGTGAGGCACTTTCAGGGATGAGTCGGTGTCTCTAATATGAAATGTGATTTAGAAATTGTCTTAAAATGTAAAGTTAAGATTAGTGACATGTTACTATTGTTCCTACGTCTTTCAGGGTGATTTATTAAAAGGGAAATTAGAGTTAAATTTAGCAATTACAAGACAGTATCTGTACATGAAACAGACATGGGCTTGTGTTCACAAGAATCAGACTTATGTTTGAAAGGTGTTTTCAAGAGTGAATAAAATTGGCTGCATTTACATTTCCTGGGCTCCTCCTGACTCCCTGATGCTAAACAAGATGTTACAGGAAAGGAAAATGGAACTTTCTTCCTGTGCAGACTTCGTAATTTAGTTCACAGAGAAAATGACCAAGAACTACATATACCTAAAGGAAGACAGTTCTTACCTTTGGAGAAACCCATTTACACGGGCTGTTCCTTCAAGAAGGAAGCCGCTATCTCTCTGCCTTTGAAGATTTCAGTATTTATTTTCCTGAAGGTGACTAACACAATCTCTCTCTGTTCCTTCTATGATTCAGACACATCAAATACAGGATGGAGCTTTATAAAGTTCAATTTGGTATTCCAATCCCGAAATGCTCTTTTGGTTCCTTGAGGAAAACAATTTGTATATGACCAGGTGCCGTTTTCTTTACCTCTGTACAGAGCTTCCTTTTTGGGCTTGGAAATGCTAACTGAGTTTACACAAGGAAATGAAGGCAGAGGCTTGCGACCTCAGTTACATAATTTATCTATTCAATGTACCCGTTTCTGAAAGTTAGAACAAACATTATATGCTTTCTATTTTAAGGGAAAATTTATAGCATAGAGGCAGTGTTAGTTCCAGGTGAAATTTGAAGGGCTCTTTCCACTCCTTTTCTCCAAAGATCCAAATGTGATGGGGGAGAATACACCTAAGGAAGGATCTGTTGACAATCACTTGTGCATTTGTAGGATGTGCCAGTTAATATTATACTCTTTTTAAGGGTAGTTGTTTTGTAAACCATTTTTCTGATTATGGAAGGCATCATTTTTTTCAACTTACTAGTCAGGATGGGAAATGCTTATATATAGTGATCCCTTCCTGATTAGACCCAAAATTGTATGGAAGCCCTGGTTATGCACTCTGTGTGCTAACTCAGCTCATACAGGTGGGCATGTATAAAAAAGGCAGACTTACTTATCCCATAAATTGTGACTTTATGAAATTTCCTGAACTCCGTCAGGCCACTGTGTACCATAAAAAATTGTCAGCTCCAATATCCTAGATTGTGGCTTCATGTATGAAAAGAAGGTATGCCCATTTTGAGCTGGAATAATGATACATGTGATTTTTTTTGTTTACATTCATTGTATGAGCTGGTTAGATGATTTCTCAAATATATTTTGTTCCTATTTTTCTAGGAGCTTTTGATCAGCAAGAGATGGCTCTTCCAAGCAAGAAGAGTGCTATTCTGGTGGATGGGGTTGTACTGAATGGTCCAACCACAGATAGAAGAGCAGGAGAAAAATTTGTAGAAGAAGCCTCTAGGCTAATAATGGAAGAAGTGATTTTGAAAGCTACAGATGTTAATGAGAAGGTAAAGATGAAAACCTATAAGAAATTCCAGAAGTCTGAAAGGTATATTTTCCCCCTGATCTATATGGCTGTATGTAAGGAAAATGAGAAGTATAAACTTTAATTTCCTTTATACTTTTATCTCGGGATATGCAGATACCAGAGATTGGGTCGTTTCTCTCCCTGACCCCCACTCAGTGTCTGTGTTTATGAAGGGTCAGTCATCACTTTTTAGGAGATTGGCTGAGACCCCTGGCCCCAGCAAGGCTAGGAAGCACAGGGATGAAGCTCCCTGCCTTTGGTAATAATTTAGATTATAAACAGTTTGCTTTCCATTCTCTTGTGCATATTCTTTATTGCTCTGTGCAAAACCCCAAGAAACAGGTGTTATTTACTATTATTTTAGAGATGAGGTAGATAGTGAGGGATGAAGTGGCCAAACATTTTGCTCAAGATACCACACTAGTAAGTATCATAGCTGGGGCTAAAATCTAGGCAGTCTGGCATCTGAATTTGCACTAAAATTCTCTTCCATATGTCTCTTTAAGAATGACTAAATTATGTTTTATTTCATTAATGACTTTTCATGTTGGAATTGAATGACCAACAAATGAATGTCTGGGAGAGATTTCTCCCCAACTATGTTAGTGGGAAATAAATATAATTTTAAAACATTTTTGAATGTACTGTTATTAATTCTGAATTTTTGGTCACATGCATTTGAGAAAACTAATATAGATTGACATTATCTGTGAACTTGGAATAGTTATGTTCGAGGTAATCTCATTAAATGGCATTTCTTATCCATGCAGATTATGTATTTGTAATTGCCTATTTTCTGGTCATGCATTTATGAAATACTTTGGAGCTGGTTTGCTCTGGAGCACACTGCTCCTCTGGCAAGTTATTTCTTAAATTGGCCTTTATTCTGTCATTAAATATTAACTGAGTGTTAGCTACTGGTAAGGCATTATATTCAGCCCTGGAGGATATAAAGAAACACAAGATAAAGGTCCAGCTTTGAGTAGAATTTATAATCTAATTGAAAGGGTAAGTTTTCAATGGCAATGAGACCAGAAGATTCCAGTGAGAATGTAATAAATTCTAGGGATTTGGGGAGGGCTTTTGGGATTTTACAGAAGAGTGTGCACTTTGAGCTTTAATGTATAGTGTAAAGGTTAAGATTTTGGTGGGCAGAGAAATCAGGTGGGACGCTCATTTCTAGGGATGTTAAAGAAAGTAGAAAGGTAAATAATGGAAAGACTATTTTAAAAGAGCAAGATTTATTTAACATAGCAAAGGGTTGTTTCTTTCTGAAAAGAGAGCTCACACAGGGCTGTGGGGACCTAAGAAGAGAAGGAAGACTGGAGTCTTTTACCAATTAAGCAGCCTCACGCTGATCCTAGTGTGGTAGATGTGCAGGCAGGCTATCTATCCATTTAAGTTGCAGTGCAGATCTTTGGGGTTGGGAGGGTGATGAAGTTTTTATACCACTAACTTGGCCTACTTTGTCTGAGGTCCAACATAACACCATTACAAAGTAACGTGCAGATGCATTCCTACACTCAGTGAGATCATTACTTCTAGTGCCCTCTCCAATAGATATATTTTCTCAACCACATTTTTTAAAAAATTGAGTTATAATTCCTATTCAATGAACGCACCCCATCCGCTCAGTTCTGTGAGCTGAAGGACGGAGACAAATCTTATAAGTAACTATTGCCACAATCAAGAGAGACAGCAGTTTCATCTCCCCCAGATTTCCTTGTGCCACTTCCCCGGCCATTCTCTCCCCCATCCACCCTTTTGTCTCCTAGAAACCACTGCTCTGTTTTCTAGCCCTGTAGATTTTGTCTTTTCCAGAATGTCATGTGGATAGAATGAAACACATACAGCCTTTGGAACCTATGGTTTTCCCTTATTAAAATCCACTTGAGATTCCTTCATGGTGTTGAGTGTATCTAGAGTCCTATTTGTAAGTTGTCTCAAGCACTTTTGCTTTACCTCTGCCTGTTACTGTTACATCCCCGGAATTTCATTCCTCTCACACAACTCAATATTTCCTCCTGCCCCCGCAACTTCCCACCTCCCAGCCTTCCCACTCCCTAGCTATTCCTTGGTATGTCTCCTCCCCTCCAAGACCAAACTTTACAAAACTGTCTATTTCCTCCCTCTACTTCTTCACCTCCCACATTCTCTCTTTGCCACAATCTGGCCTCCGCCCGCACCTCTCTGTCAAACTGCTTTTGCTAGGAACACCTCCTTGTTGATGCATCCCATGAACACATTTCAGTCTTTATCTACTTTGGCTTCTCATCAGTGTTTGGTGTAGTGACCATCTCCTTAAAACATCCTTTGTTCTTGGTTTTGGTGGCACTGAACTTCTCCTAGGATTTCTGCTCTGCTCTGGCCTCTCTTCCACCTGCCAGCCAAGCTCCTAGGCCCATGGATACTGCCTAGGGTTGTCCTGTGCCTTCCCCTCCTTCCTGTAGGCTCTCTCTGAGGTATGTCATCCATCCACTGTTATATCATAGTGTAGCAGAAACTCTGCTTCTGGGTTTTTATATAAGCCTCAAAAGACTGCTACAATGGGTTTAGATGTTCTGAGGGTGTCTTAGACTAAATGTGCTTAAAATTCATTATCTCTACCCTGCTTTCAACAAGAGCCATCTCCTGCTATGTCACCTCCTCCTGGTTCCTCCTGTAGCAGTCAAACCCTATAACCTGGAGAGAAATCCAAAGATCATCCTTGGCTCATTCCTCTTTCTCACCTTCAAAATCCAATCGATTCTGCATTTTAAATACATCTAGAAACTGTATACTTCAATTCTACAGTGTCTCCCCTCACCCAGACAATCACTCTCTTGCCTGATTTATTATAGTTATATCTCCTATTTCTAACTGTACTTGGAGCTTCTACAAAGCTATTGTCTAAACTACAAATATGACCATTTCATTCCCTATCTAAACATTTCAATGACTTTCTTAGATCCCAATCAAACTCAGTAACATGATCCATAAAGCCTTTATCTCTTCACGTACTCCTCTTTTATTCAGTAGATCTTTCTTGAGAACGTATTCAATAGTGGGCTTTGTGTTTGCTACTTGGGATCCGTGAATACAGAACAAAATCTCTAATCTCACAAAGATTATATAGAACAGAGTAAATAAATGAACAATAAAATATCTTGGAACATGGTAAATGCTATAGAATAAAAAAGAGAAAGATTGGAGAGGTTGATAGAGAGTGGATAGTGGACAGATAGCAATTTTAAGTAAGGGAGTTAGGATGGCTGTCATTGAGAAAGTGACATATTTGAGCATAGTTTTCGGGAAAGAAATGAAGTAGTTAGCTGTGAGCATATTTGGGGAAGAAGCATTCTAGGGAGAGAGCCCTGTCATGCAAAGTCCCTAAGGTAGGAACACTCCTCATGGATTCAGGGAAGAAGAAGGCGAGTCAGCCAGGAGGCAGATAGTGCTAGATGAGACTAGCGAGGAAACAACAGCTAGGAGGAATGGGACATTGTGGTTCACTTTATGCCCTTCATCTTTTCCTTTGAAGGAAGTGGAGAGCCATAGGATGTATTCAAGCAGAAAAATGGCCATGGCTTAGGGATAAGAAAATCACTCTGGCTCCAAAGTTGATAAACTATGTGAAGAAAGGGTGCAAACTTAGGAAGTTATTTTAGTATACAGCTTTACTTTATTGCTTTGCCTTTCCTCAAAATCTCAGTTCTAGCCACATGAAATGCATTTCATTTTTCAGATGTATCATAGGCTCCCTTGATTTTTCAGCCTTTTTACTTCTGTTACTTCCATCTAGAACTTCCCTGGTATTATCTTCTCCCCTGATCTGTGCTTAATTTACTCTATTTTTATTTAGTGCTGCAACTTGCCTATCTATCGTTTTGTCCCGGAAATCTTTGACCATGCAGATGTAGGATGGGCCCTTCACTTTGTCTCTACAACACGTGCATTGCTCTCATGGCTCGTGTCGTGCTGCAGCAGGGTTGCATGGTTAGCTCTCGGTGTGTCCCACTTCTCTGGGAGCTTCCTAAGATGCAGTCCAAGCTCCACACTGCTCAGTCCCAGGCTCTGGTGGGGGCTCCATTAATTGCAGGTTGTTGCTGAATCTCCAGGTGTGTGAATGGCAGTCTCCTGAACAGCTGAAGCAACTTCTTGACTTGGAGATGAGAGACACGGGAGAGTCCCACGACAGGTTGTTGCAGCTCTGCCGAGATGTCATACGCTTCAGTGTCAAAACTAGTGAGAACTTCAGTTTACTTCCTTTCTGTGTACCTCTGACAAGTTCTTGCATTTTTAAAGTATTTATTTACCTCCTAATGAATCTTTGTATGATAATGTTTAAGGAACGAGAAACCTGGATTTAAAAAAAATAGTGTTTCTGATGTTTTTACCATGGTTCGTTTAATACAGATTTGTTGTCAAGGACAAAGATAAATTAATAGGAAAACTATTGGTGCAATGTAAATATTATCTATTCCTTGCCAATTTCAATCTTCCATTTATAACCAAGACCAAATATTATCACTGCAAATGGTATTTTAATTATATGAATATGCTAAGAGATTTTAAATCTTTATGGACCAGAATGTGCAAAAAAAAAAAAAAAAATCCAAGGAAGTGTCTTTAATATAAATAGGAATATTTTTATTTAGAGGACAGAGATAAACTCTTGACACTTGGTAATTACCAAATTATTTGACCAAATATTGCAGAATCAAACAATAAAAATTTTCTTGTAAATGTAAGAAAAACAAATACATAGTAAGTGTTGCTGCACTGTTTCACACTAATGCCATGGTCTCTTTGATCTTTTGTGAATGTAGTGTGACGTGGTCTCAGTCTTATACTGAAGTAATTTTAACTTGACTATTAATTCTATATATCCAGTGAACAGGTTGCAAAGGTGGGAGAGTAACTTTCCAAAATAAGTATTTCTCAGTCTGATGTGAAGGTAATGTAGTACTTAAAACCATGCAGACATTATACTTTGTGAATTCTGACATTGGACTAAATTTAGTGGAAAGAAGATAATAAAATCCTGGCTAAAAATAAATAAAAATATATTCCCTTGGGAAAGTCTGGTGCATGTATCAAAAACACAGTTAGCATTTCAAAAGCAGAGATACATATCTTATTAGTATAGTGCATGTCAGAAGTGTAGAATGACATTTAACAGTAGATTTTTCAGTTTACTGGATATTTTCCATAATGTTACCATGGAAATCAATCATAAATTAATATGCACTAAAAAAATCTTATTAAAATTACTTGTAGCAATGTCTGGTTTCCTTTGCCAGATCCAAGGACATTTTGCATGTTTTAATTGAAAAGACATTTTTAAAGTTTTTTTTATTAATTCCCCCAGTTTAACAAGGGAAAAAAACCATTCAACCTAAATTCTGTAAGTTGTCATGAGGTGTCCATTAGTAAAATAATTCCTGAATACTAAAAGTAGAAATAGACCTCCTGCTTCTTTGTTCTTTCTCATGCTGTGTGCCTGTGGCTTAGAATGTCAAGGCAGATAGCCTGGTGTTGGATGTGAATATTCGTACTGTGTAAAGCCAAGAACCTTTATGAGATCTTTTGTGAGAAAAAATATATAGAAAGTTGGAACTAGAAATCGTTGAAGTGTTAAAGGAGACTGCGTTTGAAGTAAGTTGCATCAGGAAGCCTGTGTCAGCTGCAGGATGAGTCACATCCCACTCCGTCTACATAATGCCATCACACTGGCCAATCTGAAAAATGAAAAGGCCACGCACAGCCTGTAGCCTGAGGTGAACCCTGATGGTGAGGAACGTGTGTTTGAAGTGAGGTAAGTTAATATTGATAGTTTCAGAAGATGAAGGCAACAGGCTGTGGAACTTGGAAAAACAGTGTTCAGATCCATTTCTCAAGGGTTCCCGTTGGTTACAAATTGTTGAAAAGAGCGGTTGGCAAATCAAAGCTCTTAAGGAGGGTGCTTACGTCTTAGCTAGAAACATTGTTCAGTGGAAAGGATTTAAAGAAGCTCGGCAACATTTTTTTCATTGTACACAGTCATATTTTGAATATTTAAAAAATTTAAGTATAATTTACATTCAATAAAGTGCACAGATCTTAAGCACTCACATCAGTGAATTTGTATGTATGGGTACATTGGAATCATCACCCAGACTAGATTTCAACCATTTCTAGCAGCCCGGAAGGTCCTTGCGGCATAGCAGTCAAGAGTTACTTCACCAAAGTACCCAGAATTCTAACTTGTATCTCCATCATTGAATTTGCTGATTCCAAATGCACATAAATAATCATGCCTTCATTGTTAGAAAGACTTATTTAAATTGTTGCAACCTCAGTTTTTTTTCTTTTTATCGATGCATAAATACTTCGTTTTAAATTTACAGACCACCCAAGATTTTTCAACCAACTATATGCTGGACTTGATTATTACTCTTTGGTGGGTCGATTTATGACAGAAGCATTAAATCCTAGTGTGTAAGTATCATGCTACTGGAATCTCACACTGTAAATGGGCTGGAGATTTTTTTAAATAGATGAAACTTTATTTAATGAATTTCTATTTAATAATTTCTTTTACATAATATAATCCTAAGTAACAGAGTAATCTTAGACACTTAGTAGTAGTCAAAGAGTTGTTTGATTTGTATAATGGTACTGTGAAATAACAAGGAAAGCACTGTTAATTTTCTCATCTGTTAAATGGAGGTAAGTAACTTTTCATGCATTGTTACATGAAGAGACATATCTGTGTAACTGCTAGAGAGAGAGAGACGTTGAATAATAAGCCTTGACTCTGCTCTGGTGAAGCATAAAGTCTATTAAGAGCAAAAGAGAAGCTAGTCAAAATGATATTAGTGTAAAATTGATGTAAAATTCAAACTCTTATATGAAAGAGTTGTGCTTTCCAAGTTGGGAGCTCAAGAAAGTCTTCTTTGAAAAAATTACAGTTTTGAATTGAAAAATCAGTGAGAATTACTTAGGTAAAATGGGAGGGATCAGCTCCAGGTAGAAGAAATGACATGTACAAATGCCCTGTGGTGGAAGACAGCATGGCATACTTTCTTGTTTTTTTTGGTATCGGGGATTGAACTTCAGACTTTGCACTTGCAAAGTAGGTGGTGGGACTACTGAGCTAAAAATCTCCAGCCCCAGCATGGCATACTCTAATGAACTGAATGACCCATGTAGGTGTACTAATGGAGCTACAGGGAGCATAGTGGAGGTACTAACAAGATAGAAACCAGGAAGAAAAGGGACAAAGAGGAAGGGGTAGTAGAAAGGAAAGAAGGGAATGGAATCAATATGAGAAAATGAAAAATAATGGAAACAAAGTCTCTGTAGATTGGGAAGGAGAGAGGGGTTGAAAGGAGGGCAGGGCCATGGGGAAAAAATAAGAACCAAGATTGATTATGTACAGGTACAAATTTCCAACTATGAATGTCATTATATTGTATACATTAAATGTACCAATAAAATTAATAAAAGTTAAAGATAGAAGGGCCTTGTGCAACCATGTTCACCAGTTATTCTAAATACATTGGAAAGCCCTTGAAGGTTTTGAAATTATTGATATTGACATTTAAAAGCTTGCTGAAAATATTGAGCGTAGATTGGGATAACAGGAGGACATTTCCTTAGGTAAGAGATAATAGTAATTTGGGTTTAGATGAAAGTGGAAAGAATAGAGAGGAAAAATGCTTTGTTTGGAAGATAAAACATAAGGAACAGTATTGCACACTGGACCTTGGAAATGAAGGCAAAAGGAACGATTTTTAAGATAATGCCTAAGTTTTATAGTGTGTTCATTGTCATGTTATTCATTAATATAAAAAAGTACTGGGAAAAAAAGTACTGGGAGATAGTACCAGTTTTCAAGTATGTAGTAGATAAGGTAAGATCAAGAATTCAATTTCAGTTGTGAGCATTTGAGTTTGCAGTGATAATCAAGAATATATATCCACTAATCTGAGAGATATATAGGCCTGGAATTCTGTGATGTATGGGAAAGGCATAAATTTAAAAGTTACCAGCAGCATGATGGTAATTGCAATAGTGGGCATGAACAAGATTCCCTAAGTCAGTGATTTTCAACCTTAATTGCTCATTAGAATCAACCTCAAAACTATAAAAAATTGATGCATAGGCTGCAACCTGGATTAATTAAATATGAATTTCTGAAGATATGTCCCACTCATTGATAAATTGGCAAAGCTCAACAAATAATTTTAAGGAGGCTCTGTGATGGAGGACCTCCATCTGAGGATGGAGAATAGATTAGCAAGACAAGAGGGATGGGCCTTAGGTCATGCAGCATTTTATCAGTAGGAGAAGGAGACAGAAAGTGAAAATTGAGGGTGTAGGCAAGGAAGCCACAGAGGACAGCCTGTCCAATGCTACATATTGAGTAGTTAACAGTGACAAAAACTAAACAGTGTCCACTGGGTTATTAATATGGATATTATTGATTCAGTGAGGAAGTAGACACCGGGTTACAATGAGTGGGAGAAGAAACAGTAAAGTTAGCCAAAGAAAATAGTAAAATTATACAACAGGTTTTATAACCCCTTATCTGGGTCATTTAATCTGAAATACTTAGAGGTTTTTGAAATATTACATTGAGGCTAAATGAAACCATCTGCTTAAAATTTGTCCCACCCTTGAGAGTGTTCCACAGTATACTTACCTCTACCTGAAGGCCTATTCTGAAGTGTAGATTTGAGCATTTAAAGTGACAGATTTGATACTTTTTGTTATAAAAATTGAATAATTGTTTTATTTACATCAGGTTATACATAAGCATATATCCTTTCATACTCTTGGTATGTGCAAACTGTTATTTAAAAACAACACATCTTATTTTTAAAGTGATGTAATATTTGTGGAACACTTGACACATGGATGATGGGTAAAAGGTATTCAGTTTTCTTGCCTCCATTTCAAAGCTTTTCCTTCTAGTTGTTAAAATAATTTCATCCAATTTGTGACTATGAAACTAAATGCGTCTACTTAGCCTACACATTTAGAGTACAAATTTATTTCACATTTAATGTAATCGTCTAATTGAGATTAGAGATGTGTAGTTCTCCTCAAGTTGTTTGGTGAGAGAAGAGACTCAAACACTTGTTTGGGGTCACGGGGAAGCCCACCCTAGATGGAGCTTGGAGGGTAGCATAGCACGATATTCATTAAGGGGCACCCTTGGGATGAATGTGGGAGCCCAGAAGAGTGGGGGAAGAAGGACAGGAGTCAGGATACCTTCCAGGCTGGATGACAGTCTCGGCTGACCCTGGAGAAAGCTGGGGTGGCCAGTCATCAAGTGTGGGCTGCCACAGGAAGGCATGTGACCTTGAGGGATACAGCTTCCCTGAAGCTGAGTTGATCCCTCTGGGGGCAGCAGAGCAAGACTTTCTGAGAACAGTGATCCAGCCTAGAGCTTCCTTCACTGACAGGGATCCAGATAAAGTTTGACAGTAAGATAATTACATCATAAGGGGTTTGTCACAGAATACCTCCCATCTCTACCAATATAGGTGGTATGGTGGAGGAAACACTAGTTTAGGTCAGGTCGTTCCCATGTAGAATATCTAGAGCTGACTGTTCATATACTACTTATAATAGTAACCTAATAAAACCCTGTCACCAAGACAGTGGCTTTTCTTTAATCAGTATCAAGATCCAGTGCAGTATTGAGAGCATCCTAAGAATGAAATGGCCACTGTGTGTAACTAATACAGAGTCCCGATGCCCTACCCTTTTCTCTCCTTATGTAATTGAAGGTTTTGTCTAAACTGAAATTACTGAAAGAGCTTGTATGTCTCTAAGGCCACCAGTTATTGGCATTTTATATAATCACAATAGCACTATTCTTGATCAAGTAATTCTCTATTTCCAAAGACTACCTACAACTCAACAGTCATTTCATTTAATGAAACTGTATAGGTGCATTTCTTGGGACACCACTGGGATGTTTTGACACTAGTTATAAAAGTTAAGTGTTCTTTATATCTATCTAGTTATACGTATGAGGTGTCCCCAGTGTTTCTGTTAGTGGAAGAAGCAGTTCTGAAGAAAATGATTGAATTTATTGGATGGCAAGAAGGAGATGGAATTTTTAACCCAGGTAAGTAAAATTGGTTACAATTAGTTATTTCCATCACTTTTCCATTATAAGCATCTAAAATATATTCATTCGAGGAACAACTCCGTGTGGATTTACAAATTACAAAAAAGTCAAATATTACTAGAATATGCTATGAAGTAATCATGTAGTTTGTGCCTTTCTCCACAGAGACAATATTTTTACATAAATGATAAAGTAATGACATACATACTTAAAAAATGAAATGTGTACAATTTAGGACTTATATCTAAGACACATAAATTTATCTGCTGTTGGGAGTTTGGAAAAGCTGTAAGTCTTCTGAATTTTAAAATCACTTTTACTTGGGCAAGTTCCTAAATTACATGTGTTTGTCCTATAGTTCTTTTTTGGAGCCAGAGATAAGCATATAATATCATTTCAACTTTATTGATCATGTGACAAAGAACATTATTACATGTGGAGATTTGGATACAGCCCTAAGTTTAAGGCTCATAGACTGAAGCTTTCAGTTTGGAAGAACCCTAGAATGAGATAATAGATGAAAATTTCTTTCTTTGCTGAGATTGAAAGGTTCCGGTATTGAAGAGTAAGGAGTGTGTAAAAGTAATGTTCAGTGTCATGGGTGTGGGTGGTGTTTCGGGACTTTAGTAGTGGTTTTGAAAATTTATTTAATTTTTGTTCATATACATACTTTAGTTATCCCTCCTCCATCATCTTCTTTGCCCCCATCTCGGTTTTACAGGTTTTATGGGGGGGGATTTCAATGTGTATAATGTGATTTTTTTTTATTATTAGAGTAGTCATAGTCATTTGTACTTTTCACTGCATTCAGTATTTTGGGTACTATAAATTCGTGCTATAAATATGACAGTTTAATTTTGTTTTTGCAGGTGGTTCACTGTCCAATATGTATGCAATGAATTTAGCTAGATACAAATACTGTCCTGATATTAAGGAAAAAGGGCTGTCTGGGTTGCCAAGATTAATCCTTTTCACATCTGCAGAGGTAAAACATTATTCTTGATATCAGATATAGATTTTCTGAAAATACAGTATTTCAGAAGGCTTATTTGTTTGGAGACATCTATTGTGACTTTATCCTATCTATGAGTGATTAATATGCCTATGTATAGCATAATATTGCATTCCAAAGAGCATACTAATGGGTCCTGGCTATCCAGTTTTATATGTTAACTTTAGTTTAAAATTTATAGTCTATGTCATTTTCTTTGAGAAAAGAACATTTCATTTGAAAGTTCTGTCTCTTTTTGTGAATCTCTTCTAGGAGTATTTTGCTTCTTAGAACTTTGGTGATCACTACTGATGTCAGATATGTTTTCTACTTATATTTCCTTATAAAATTTCTCTGATTAATATAAGGGTTTATGCCTTCCTTTTCAAGTGAAAAGTACATATTCAGTAACAGTGAACACAGAAACACCCTCATATAACTGAATGTTGCTCCAGTTTGTTACCTGTCATTTCATTCTCACTAAAGGAAGTGGTCAGATTGTGGGTCCATGCATTGGCTTTGATCTAAGATGCCTACAGTCAATTCCTATCTCCATCACCTGCTGTCTGAGTGACGTTGGATAAGTTGATTGACTTCTTTGTGTCTTTGTTTCCTATTTTGTAAAAATGACTGTCAGTTCTTGCATCTAACAAACTGTCCCCAAACCTGAGAGCGTAGAACTGTGCCCATGCATTCTTGCTTACAAATCTCAGGGCACCTAGGCAGTTTTGCTGTTCTTGGCTGGGCTCCCTCCCCTGGCCAGAGTTTGCTGGGCCAATTGATGATGTGGAAGTGGTTTACCTGGGGGATGCCAGTGATTCCTCTCTGTTCTGTGTGCTCCTCCCCTTCCAGGGGGAAGTCTCTAGGTGTATGCTCAGGGCAGAGGTATAAAAACAGGTGATAAGAATGTGGAAACACCCTAGACCTTGAGTCCTAATCTCTGAACTGACACACAATCACTTCTGCCTCGGGAGGGGGTGGGGTGAAGGGAGGGCAGGGACAAGGGGAAAAAAATGGGAACCAAGACCTCTCATGTAAAGGTACAAGATCCCAATAATGAATGTAACTGTACTGTATACCTAAAATGTACCATAAACTAAAACAAAAACAAAGTAGAATCTGGCACATACCACTAAGAAGTGTTAGCTGTTGTTAAGAGGAGACTCATCCCACTATAAACAAAGTAGGCAGAAATTGAAGGTTCAGTTTAAGTGAAGTTTTATCTGAAACATTATTTCTCACCTTTTTCTTTTTGAGTCCAGTGGGGCCCTCTGTACTTCTACCATTGCTTCTTCTGTAGAAGGTCTCTCTGGTCAAATTTGTCTGAGGTTTTGCTTTATGCCTAGTCTGGGGGTATTGTGTTTTAAAAGGGAGATATAAAGGACCTTTCTTAATACATGATATCAACAACACATGCTGTACCTATCTGTATTAGTCAACTTTTGCATTGCTAGAAAAAATTACCACACATGTGCAATTTAAAAGAGGAGACATTTATTTCTCCACCCCATCCATGCAGACCCTACTCTGCAGCTCCTTCCTTTTCCTGATTTGCCAAAGATATTCGGGTCATAGCAATGACATTATTTTAACTTACATTTTAATGATCACCTTCTTCACTTATTCTAACAAGTGCATCCATTATTTAGTCAAGAAAGAGTTAAAGAAATTATTTAGAAAACAGTCTTAAACCCAGCCGGTAGTCTTTTTGCTGTACCTCTGTTGTTATTTAGGCATTGGCCCGTGCCCAGTGATTGTTCCTCTACTGTTGCTTTAGATGGGGTTTCCAGGCTCTGTGCTGCCCCGGATTACTCCATCCATGTCTTCACCATCAAATACAGAATATATAGATCCACCACTGAAGGCATTTTTGCATACTTCAAGATTTGATTGTAATGCAGCTGTTAATAAAGACCTGCAAGATCATGGCAGAGGCTCTTCCGTGTTAGTATATCCAAGGTAGCCTCTCCAGTGCTGTGTGTCAAAGAGATGGGGGCTTGGAGAAAAGTAATACATTTATGACTTAACTAACACTTTGATGTACATTCCTTGGTTTTATGTAGAAATCCTAGGCTTAGAAAGTTCCTGAGGAATTCAAAGAATTTTTGGATTCAGCAGAAAGTAATGTTCTTTTTTTTTTGTGCCGCTAAAAAGAGATGATAGAAAAGAAACTCACCTCCCAGGCCAATGATCCGTGGAACTAGTTCTTCTCTAGTGGGAGTGCAGCTGAAATAAAAAATGGGATGTTAGGGATACAGGTCTCAGGGTTGTGCCTGCTTTGAACTTGTGGCCTAGGTTGGGTTTGGATGTTATTTCAGTCCCTCTTAATGGGCAAACAGGTATCCCTTAAGATGAACTGCGGAGCATGAGACTGAAGTCCGTCCGTCTGCATTCTGGCTCTGGTCATTTTAGGAACTGAACAAGTTTGATGTTTTTGGAAAAATCCTCTAGATATTTACTTTGTTCTTTCTCTGAAGTGTATACCATTTATAAATTCTACTCTTTCTATCAGCCAGTTTGAGCCTCGAAGTAGTCAGGAGTATTAGTCAGATTTGGTAGTCAGGAATAGAAAGGATGTGTGTGTCCAGACAGGATACACATAAAAAAGCAGAAGTTCATTGAAAAAGCCAAGGTCATAGGGGAAAAAAAAGAAAAGAAAACCCTTTCAGGAACCGGAAAATAAAAGTTTAGCTTAGTACTCTTTCGTGTAGGTACTTGCTGTTTTATCTTTATAGAAGTGAGCACCCGCTGAGGTTTTTATGCCTTCTGTAGATTAATGGAACCTACAGGGAGGTTGGGTCTTAGAACAACTGATATCTTCTGCCAGGGCTGGGAACAGCCACCTTGTTTCTAAATGTGGTTGTTACTTCTGAATTCCAGCCTTCCGTGTTTTTCCTTTCCTTGAAACTACTCAGCATGTGTGAAGCATGTCTTTCTCTCCTCTTTCAGGGCCCTTTTCCTTCTCCGATGCTTTCAGATGTTCAAGCTTCAGTTTTTCAGACTTTTTACCTGTCCCCATCCATTTGAGGTTGACCTTGGGCTGTACTTTACCCTGAGGTACTTAACGATAGCTCCACTGCAGCTATTCTCATTGTGATTACAAGTTCTTGACTCAGCACATCTATTGGTTGGAGATATTTTGCTATTTCTCAGGGGTAGAGCACTGTGATTTTCCTTATAGTCAGATGTCAGTGGGGGTAAGCTAGCATTTATCATTAGGAAGTCAATTGCTGCTCAGTTTCCAGAGCCCAAATCTCTGGTGAGAAATAATTCACCTTAGCTGTGTCACCTTAGCTGTGGCAGACGTGTTCCCGCCAACCAGCGGGGGTGGGTGTAGGAAGTGGAGAATTAATTGCATTTTCATATACATTATCGGTCCTTAATATGCATAGGTTCTTATAACAACCTAAAATAAATGCATCCTACAGGCAGTTTGGATGTGTCTGTTTGATATTTGAAAATTACTTATTTAGGTTGGTTTCATTTTTCCTGATGGTGTTACTTCTGCATTTTATTTTTGCAGAGTTAAAAAAAAAAGAGAGCTCCCAATAAAACTCTTGACAAAAAAAGGAAAAATTACCACATTTGAGGGAATATATCAAGTTAAGTGTGAAGGCATGACTACTCTTATAATGTATTCATACCTACAAATTAAATTACTAAGGTTTTTTTTTGATACAATAATGTCCTTTAACACCTTCATTCTTCTGGCATGAAAAAGAATTGATTGACCACCTGTCCTCAGTATATAAAGAATGACATCTCCAATTTGAATGCTAATTGTCTTACTGGCTCAGCGTAGTGGGGTGGGGGAAGGCCCAACACTCTAAACTACATATTACTATTTGCCAATATAAAGTAGGTAAGTTCTACTTTCCAAAGCCATCTTTTAGCCTCATTCCTGCCCTAGCCGACTATTTGTCTATACATTAATTTTGCTCTTTTTCTTATGATTCTAATATCTGTATGTCTGATTTCAGCCTTGTATTCAGTATTAAATAAGATAGGCCAAGTATCTGGTCAGTATCCATAGCCCATTATTTGCACTTGGAAATAATTAAACTCTTCGCTAGTCTGTGAATGCAATCTTTGAAACATGGTCTTTCTCTCTCCTTAGAGGGTTTGAGTCAGCAGTGGACTAGATTCAAAGTTTCCATTAATGCTGAGGCTTATTAGTAGCATCAACAGAAGTTTTTTTTCTTTTTCATTTTGGAAAACAATGGCCTCTAGGGACCAATTTTGTTCCATAGGGTATGCTCTGTGTTAAGTCCTTTATGTACATTAACCCATCAGGTTCTATAACCAGCTGGTGGGAGAGGTATTGCTGATGTGACCACTTTGTAAAATGAGGTCTATAGAGTGTGCCTTATTCGTTCAAAGTTCTATACATTCTGGTTCATGTGAGCACAAAGTCCATGTTCTCAACTAACTAAAGAGCTCAAGTAAATTACTGTTTTCCTTCACTTCTGTGCAGTAATCCAAAGATTATGTTCTGTTACAAAGGCACACGCCTATTTGGGTACAAAGTAGTACACTTTTCATGCTATGCAGGGCATTTATCTCTCTCCCGCACTCTCTCCCCTTCAATTCAGTGTCATTACTCCGTGAAGAAGTCAGCCTCTTTTCTGGGGATTGGCACTGAGAACGTGTGCTTTGTGGAAACAGATGGAAGGTAATGGGGACAGGATCCGGAAGCTGGTGGGTGGAGGGATAATTCATACAGTTGAAAAAGCAGCACCGTTGCCTGTGAACTGCTAAATATAACTGACGGTTTTAAATTTGCACTCCTTAGAGGTAAAATGATACCTGAAGAACTGGAAAAGCAGGTCCTTCAAGCCAGAAAAGAGGTAAAGAGGGGAGTGATGGAGGGGGAGGGAGAAAGGGAGGAGGGAGGACTGAAGAGGAGGAGGAAAGGGAGGGAGGGAGAGAGAGAGAGGACAAAAAGCCAAATCTATTTTTATATGTGAGACAGAGAAGAGGTGAGTGTGTTGGAGTTAAAAGTAGGGAAACTCAGTGACAGATGTTCTATTTCCAGGTGCTTGCCTCTCCATGTTCTGTGGAGTTTCTTGGATGTTCTCATTTCCGGGTGGCTGGAGCCTATTAAAATACTGCCATCACCATTGTTCAGGATTCCTGGCTAGAATAAGCCCTAAAGATGACTCTAGCCTCTCCAGCAGAGCCTCAACTTCCACTCTCCTGACTAAACCCTTCCTCTGCCAAGTCTGAAGGCCAAACTCATTGGGCTACATTCATGATGATTCTTTATTTCTTGATCAATCTGTCCTCCTAGCTGCTTCCAACCCAAACCCTGTACATGAGTAGCACCTCACGATGGGGCCGTGTCTCAGTTTGGGGACAGAGTATCCTGTCTTCTTTACCTACTTAATATTTTAAGGTTTAAATGTCCATTATTGGATAAGCCAAGACATGGTCTTGGTTTCCCACTGGGACCAAATAAGTCTGTTTCTGACACCTGTTTTTCCAAATGTGGCTTCTTCTTCTGGTGCCAAACATGTTGCTTCTTGGATCAAAAGCCTCCTGGATGTGGTGCTGCTTTCTCCACTGCTTGCCTCCCTTCCCCCACATTCCTGCTGCTGATGGAGATTCAGATTATTCTGTGATAACTTTCTGATAGCAGTAGAGTCAGGGGTGCCCTTCCAAAGCCCAGCCTCTGAGCTGAGGTGGAAGTACACCTGTCCTCACAGGGGTTCGTGCTCTAAAAACGATGAGTTGTTCAAGTTTTAATATTGAATTTATTTTGTTATATTCTTTGAAATTTTCATACAAGTTAACTGCAGTTTCATGGAAATCACTTTGAGGACATGCTAAATTGCTGTGTTTGATTCTAAATCCATACTTTTTAAAAACCTGGTGGTATTGTAAGAGTATTGGCTTCAGGTTTATGTCCCTAAATGTACATTTATCTTTTAACACTCAGCTTGTCATACTACTTTGACTTTTGGGTAAAATTGTACAAAACACTTGTAAGTAGTTTATTCTGCTGTGAATCAAAGATAGTGCTTTCTAGTTTTAGTTTCATTTTCTATAGAACTTCCTATAAAAAAACTTTCATCATATTGTGAATTCTGGAATTCTTGTTGACGGGGGATACTTACTGCACTATTTTCATTGTTCGCATTACTCTTTCCTTCTTTCTTCCTTGCCTTCCTCCTTTTCCTTTTCCCTCATTCTTTGTTCCTCCCTCCTCACTCTACCTCTTTCTCTCTTTCCCTTTTTCTCAATTTTCAAAATCGTGACTTGTTTCCTTTCCTCCACTGAACATAATCCCCATTGCTTTTCGTATCATTAACAATTCATAAGTCTCCTACAGTTGTTTTTGTTGTTCACATATTTTTGTTTTGGCAATGAAAGTATATGAAACTGAAATAATTCTAGAGTTGGGAATTTGAAAAAAAAAGGTTTTTTAAAAAGTAAAAATTGTTTTAGGCACACTTAAAAGGAAGGCAATGGAGTTAGAGGTAGTGTATCTGCTAAATTTTCTTTCAAGTCCGAATACTTGAACCTAGATTGACCACGAACAAACCTTGCATCTGTTCTGAGATAATACATGTTGTATAATTTATTTTTCTCAGAAACTTAGGCCTAACTGCTTTTGAGCTTTTAACTCTCGTATTTCAGATGAGGGGAAGAGTACACCAACTTTTTTTTTTTTTTTTTCTGAAAAATCAACTCTCTGGCCATTAACAAACCATTAAAATGAACTTGATGCTATTATACAGATAGTGAAGTCCACAAGGCAGCGGGAGTCCTAAAGAGAGTATTGAGAAGCCCAAGCTGGCATGACCACTGATTATTTCAGAGGTATTTTTGTGCATGCATATCTGAAAGGATATACTTTTGTAGGGGTGGTTGCTCATTGGCAGCATGCAATCAATGTTTCTGCTGGACCTTCTCATTGATAGCACGAGAAAGAAAGAATATATGGAAGACTGAAAAAGTTTAATTTCTAGGCCTGATATATTAAATATCAGATTTATAAGATTTTTTAAGAGGTGAGGAAATCTCATTAATATGTTGTAATAGCTTGCATAGGTATTTTCTTACAGTTGTCAGGATGTCATGACGTTTATGAGGGAAAGCCCAACCACTAGACACCTTAAACAGTTTTAGTAAATTACCTTTTCTGTTCCTCTTAATGATTGATGTCAATCTGTTCTCATTTCATTTAGGTCACTGACATGATAAAGACTTAAACTGTTGTGGTTGAGTACAGGGAAGAATTTCCAAAGCCCATGGTTCCCTAGGGGCTCTGTCACCTGACCTGGCTGTGAGAGGTTTGGGGTAGATCCAATTCTCTGTGTCACAGCTATCTCCCAAAATGGCAACTGGATTCATTATGTACCACCACTTTGATTCCTGTGCATCTCAATTTGGAGATGTGGGACCAAATGTTCTTGCTCTGTCCCACTTTCTGTTGAGAAATAACATCTTTCTGTCACAGGTCAGTTAAATTGGAATGAGTTTGGTTCAAACACAACCACCCCTGGCACCAAAGGCCATAAAAATGTGTTGCAGTAACAATGCATTTCATGGTAACACCGAGGAGAAAATTGCTTCATGCTAAATTGAGGTAAAATGACTTTCGTAGGCAGCAAAGTGGCATAGGTCACTTATTCCTTAGGTATTCTAGAATCCTGAGATTCTGTTTGCTCCCCACAACTCCACATTTCCTGCCAGAGCACTTCTGCAGAAACACATCTCTACCACCACGCTGGGATTATACATTCAGCAATGATCTCCTGTCCGCTTCCTCTGCCTGCTTGGTATAAAGTCCCTCCATGGGGCCAGGGTGCCTGGTTAGCTTGACTGTGATTACCATCCATGTCTGTGTGTTCTCCACATTGTCCTTTTCTCCTCCATTTTCCACTGGCACCTCTACAAGAGGCAGCCACCATCTCTATGAGGAAGAATAATCATGGTAGGAATGATGCAGGCTTTTTTCCGGCATGTTTCAATGAATTTCTCTATTGTAGAGAACACTTCCCAGTGAGTTTGCCTTATCCTGTATTCAAATTTTCCTGAATCTGTATCAGGCATGGCTTACTCCAGAGCTGGGTGTTTCTCTTCCAAGCCCATTCCTTTTTGCTTTGGAGAAGAGTGACAGTGCTGACGTCAAGCAGGTCCAGTGTATTTCCTCAGGAAGAAATTAGAAATCATACAGAATGTCAGCTTGCCATTGCTGTTGAAGCTACTCCCTACCTGGGACGTTGTTAGCACAGAAAATACTATGGAAAGAAAATGAGAGCAATAATAACGAGGGTGAGTGTTGAGCTGGGGCAGAAGATGACTGTCCTTGTAGCATTTTCTCAGTTTCCTTAACCTGTCTGTAATGACAAGAGGCCAGACCCATAGTGTGGAACTTTAAGAACACCCAATTGAATTAATGGTTACTTCCAAAGAAGCCATATAAATTTCTGGATTTATCTTTTGTATTTACTAACCTGCCACAGGATAAATTGTGTGATGACAGTGACATTCTCTGTGTGTGGATCCTTTTCACAGGGGTCAACACCATTTCTTGTCTGTGCCACCTCTGGAACAACTGTGCTAGGCTCCTTTGATCCTCTGGAGGAAATCGCAGATGTCTGTGAGAGGCAGGGCCTCTGGCTCCACGTGGACGTAAGTGTACATGCATCTGTTTAACTGTCTAATCTTTCTGTAGCTTTTCACGCTCTCAGAAAACAGAGAAGCTCCTACTACTTTTGGTTGCATTTCTAACATGGGGAAATAACTGTCATTTGCTGTAAGGGTTAAAGTAGAAGTAAATTTTGATCTAATTTTTTGGATTCCACTTTTACTTTCTCCTCTCCCATGAACCATCTTCTTTGGTCCCCTGAATCATTAAGGCAGCATGGTCAGGAACAGATTTTAGACTTTGGAATCGAGAGATGTTATTTTTGAATATTATCTACCTTTTCTTCATTGTAATCTCAACTCTTGGGATTTCAATTTCTTCATTTGTTGGTGGAAATGGTTGATGTGGTCTTTATCTTTTAGCTCTAAAATTATATGATTCCAATCTGCCATAAATACCAAAAAAACCTCCTGCATTACTGCGTGCTGTAATTAAAGCAGGTTTTATCTGGATCTATCATAGATGATTTGAGAAGGACTGAAATAACTTACAGTCTTCATAATTTTATAAGTCCTGGGGTTGTTCACAATAAATTTTTTTCTTAAATGTAACTTCTAATAATCTACTTATCCAGGGTTAAAACAATGAATCAGACAGGAATGCTTGTTAAGCTTTTTGATTTTATTATTTTTTTATAGCTTTTTGATACCAGGAAATAATTTGTTTGGTTTTATTCAAGAAAAGGGAGAGTTGTATAGGCTGATGAGATTTTAGGGAACTTTCCTCAGGTAGGTGAATGAATTAAATTCTCTTTATCAGAAGAAAATTTTTGGCTGGCTGAACAGAAAATACTGAACATTTTGGGGGAGATACCCACACATGTTTACAGTTGAGATGATTTTATGCTTTCAGAGTAGAGCTATGATATGATATGGAGAGAATTTTTCTGCACTTCAAGATTTTTATTACGCGTATGCTAATAATTGGTAAAAGCCATACTTCAGGTAATATAAAGCTCACTAGAGTTATAGGCTCCATTAGCATGCCAGTAGCAATACTTCAGGTAGATTATTTGTGACTTCTTTAAATGGGATTTTAGTATTTGTATCTGTTCCCATTTCAACTTACACTGTATTGATTTTTATAGACTTAGAAGCATAACAATACATTATGTCCTAAAAGATATTATGAAGTGAATACTTTCCTAACTGTGGAAATGAGGAGAAACAATCAAATGCATCAGTGGTTATACTTAAATATTCTACTCTCATAAAAGAAACATTGAATATGGATTATATAGTTAATGCAAAACAGAGTAACAACAGCAGTTTTTAAATTGGGATGCTATTAAGGGATTTACTTCACTTAGAATTGTGATTTATAAGAACATATGAATGAAAAGCTGTCTAGATTTTTTTTTTAATTTAAAGGTTGAATTTTAGAAGAAAATGATTTTTTAAGGAAACATTTAAGCTAAAGTAAAATACTCTATTTTTATGTAGTGGCAGTCTAGAAGATGCCTATAACATTGGATTTAATTTATCATAAGTTGGCCTGTCCTATTAAAGAAATCAATAATCTCCAGCATTGAGATAGTATTTAGCCATCCTTTACTACTGCAGATGTTGAATCTTTTGATAGAATTTTAGTACAGCAGTATGTATCTAGAAGAAGCTTCATATATCATAGGTATATTACTTTATGTGTTAAATTTATAATCCATAACAATTTATTGTTAATTTATCAATTTTAAAGACAAAATATTAACAAAATTGCAACAATTACTTTGACCTACTGGAAATCTTCTAATGAGTTTTCAATGACTTTAAAATGTATAAGGTCCACTTTCTTAAAATCTTTACATCTCTGAAACGGGTATTATGATGTCATTTTTTTTTCTTTCTCATTGGCACACATATAATGCTAAATCTCATATTTGATGTTATCTTAAATTTGGTGAATTTGATGCATTTTAAAACAAATGAATAAGACAGACTTCAGTTTTGTGAGAATCTTCTGTCTCCAGTATCATTCTCTCTCTGTGAGAGTGAATGTGATTCCAGCCTCTACATAGATTAGGTCAGGGTTGATCTAGCTCTTCTTTGAACCAGAGGCTGGTGGCTTCTATAAAACCTCACATTTTCTGCAAAGTTTCCTATTTCCTCCAAACTGTTCATACCAAGGCCCAGGGAAAGTTGTAAGCATTGTATTTCAAATCATGAACTTTAGAAGCTACAAAATTTTGATTTCACTCCTGTCTTTACCTCTCTCTCAAGATTATTTCTCTTATTATTTTATTAATCATTTAATTAAGGAGAATACTATTAAAGTGGTATATTGTGGTGCTTATCATGTAATATTAGCCCAGAAAACCAAGCTCCTACATCATGAAGGTGGTTAATTTTAATTTTTAAAAAATTATCGCATTAGGAAGTCAGAAAATGAAGCAAACAGAAATAGCATGTTGACGTAAGGGCTTTTTGTCCCCTTCATTTAACTCATTTGAGTAATAAATTCGTGAATGAACTATTCCTAACCCTACAACTTTGTAAACTAGTAACACCTTCAGAGAGTTTCAGTGTGATTTTAAAACTTAAATCTGGCTGACTGGGATTAGGAGAATGTGTTGACTTTTAGGGAGAGAACAAGGAGGCAGAGGGGAGAGAAGACAGGAGTAGAAGCATAGGGTATGAGGCAGGTGGAGAGAGAGCACATGGTGGCCAATGCTTACAGTTTGACCCTTCCCCTAGTTCTCACTGCTAGCTTCTCAACAAGGTTGAAAGATAAAAGCGTTGAGATGAGTAAGGAACTTGGTATGTAGGGTGTGTGATAAAGGGGAAAAGAACCTAACATGTAAATCACCTTAATATCTGAGAATCGCAATCTCATGATCTATATCTAGGGCTCATTAATGAGTAGTAGGCCAAGGTAACATTTTCCTGAAGGCTGAAGGTAGGTGTTGTTGAAGGCTGCCCGTAGTCACACAGGGTCTATCATGAATCCTAGTGGGAGAGAGGGTACAGCAAGATGGGCACTTGCCTAACAACCCCAAGTCATCAGTCCTTTCCCTGGGAAGCTTTGGGATTTGCACCATCACCAACCTGGAGGCACATCAGAGTTGGAAAACCATAGAGGACCTCAGGGAATCAGAGCTAGAACTAGTGTGAGACCAGTAATGGTCCTAGGACTAAACTTTAAAAATGTACTTCCTGTTAGGCCTGTGCAAGCATCCAATACTAAGAGAGTTTGTCCTTAAATTGTGTACCCTAGTGAGTCACTTCTGTCTAGTCCCAGTCCTGAAGGACAGAGTTGTTCTTAAATGGGATTTTAAGGGCACAGAGAGGCTTATGTTGTACTTTATTAGCTACAAGTGTGTCCGGCTTTGGTTACACTGAGAATTGTAGAGATGTCTCATTTTCTTCCTCTCCCACATTCAAGTTGCATACCATCCTCTTGCTTCTTTCTACACAATGTGAGATTCTGTCTTTTTATATTCTGTGATTGAAATGGGAGAGATTTTTGTCCATACCCTAGGGAATTCTTGAACTTGCCCATTGCCTGATGAATTTCTATTGCCTTCAGTTCCAAGGCCAGTGGTCACCATTAGTAAGTCATGATGTATGGTATCATGAAAAGAGAATGAGTTTTTGGTTCCTAGTTTGATTTTTACTACCTGTAAGACTTTAAATAATTTACTTATCTCTTCTAAATCTTAGTTTATCTGTTAAGAAGGGGACGATAGTAATTCCATCCTCTAGGGGTTGTTGTAAGATTTAAGTGAATGTGGAGATAAGCACAGCTCCAGCTTGGACCCTCACATCCTCATTTCTCATTGTCCTGCAAGTTAAAACTTAGAAGTCTGCTCAATTTTCAAAGACTGGTGTGACTCTTGTATTTCCACTGACTCCACTTCCCTTCCTTCCAGACCAATTAATTGACCATGCGATTTCCTTTCATCTTTTTCATCAATTTTCTCACTCCCATTTTCCCACCTTTAGTTTGCAAATATTTCTGGACAGCATTTGGCTAAGATGTAATTTTCACTTAGTGCATACCAGATGGCCTCTGTCCACTTTGTCAGTAATATGCTTCATTCATTGAATAGAACCAGGCCTCTAGCCATGACTCATCATACAACATGTCTGGCAAAATGCCAGCATCGTGAAGATTTTATCTATTTTAAATTCTTGGTTTCAAGAAGATACGGACTCTACCTTTTAAACCTCGTTTCATCCACACAATCTTTGTCTGGCTAATGCACCAATTTTTAAATGATTTATGAATTTACATTCTAGGGTCAGTGGGGCACATCTGTGGTGAGGAGGTTCTGGTTGCTGAGTAGCCAGTGATCAAAATTCTCCAATGATGAATGTAACTATACTATATACCTAAAAAGTACCAATAAACTTAATTCCCTGGAGTGGAAATGGGTTAACACAACATAAAGCAAAGTACCAAATAACATAGATTGAAATTGTCTCAAAGGTTTTCTGTGGCAACCCATTGGTGAACAAGTAACATTGACTTAACATTGTTTTGGTTGTGCAAATCTCAACAGGCTTCTTGGGGTGGCTCAGCTTTGATGTCAAGGAAGCACCGCAAACTTCTGCATGGCATCCACAGGTAAATGGAGTTTTCTAGTTTGCAGTTGACCTTTATTTAGGCAAAAGAACTCTTTGCACTTTCCCCTCCAACACACATTTGGAAAACAGGCAAAAACAAAGTAGCAATTGTGCTAAAACAAAACAAAACAAAACAAAACACACCTCCAAACTTTCCACCTCTCAGACAAGGATGCCTGTGTTCCTATAACTTGGGTGTGAGAACTGAATGTGGATGTAGGGTAGTTTTCCTTCTGCCAATAAAAACTAATTGGATATCCCCCCTCCTCTGTCCTTTTCTTTGTTCAATATAATAGGGCTGACTCGGTGGCCTGGAACCCACACAAGATGCTGATGGCTGGAATCCAGTGCTGTGCTCTACTTGTGAAAGACAAATCTGTGAGTCTTCCTCTTATGGTCTTGAGAGTCCGGAGGGTTGACTCACCATGCTTGTAGAGAGCTCCATTTTTGGTTATTTGTTGGTGTTCTATTCAAGGTGTATGTGAAGGTCTTTGGTAAATGTTGGTGGTCTTGAAAGGAAAGACCAATTGGCTCATTAAAAGGTCCAGTGGTTCTGCTCAGGTAATTTTGTGGATTTGATTTAGGTTTTATACAATCTCATCAGTTGAAGCAAAGTTGTCTCTTTTGTCCTTGTTTGGATTATGTTTTAAAACTCAGTTTTAAACATCACCAAGGTTTTTTTCCTTGTTGAAAAAAAGGGATTGAAGTTATCTTGAAACTTCTGTTCACTAGGAGTGGAACAGATGTGTGTCATACGTTAAACTGAATGCTTAATATGCTTAGAGAAGGTTGAACAGCCGGTTTATATGGGAAGACAGTAGATCAAGAATGATCATGGAAGAATGATTTATCAAGAGATTGCTTGTCTCAAGTAGTTGATACTTAACCTGGTTTGGTACCTTGGGGAGAGCTGGAAACCAGTCTGGATTACGGTGAGGCAAGTGGGACAACAGTAGTTGAGGTTCTTCCTGGCCAGAGGCATAATAAACTCTACGTTTTCTGTGAGTTAAATAAGGATTGTTGTGGGAAGTCGCCCAGGCTGGGAAGTGCTACTTCATTCTTAGAAATGCCTCCACAAGATCTGTGTTCAGCATGTGGGTGATCTTTCTCAGCCATCTGCTTGTACGTTTTTTTCCTTAGGGGACTCCCTTTGCCAATGTTGAAGACATGTTCTGTTTTTTAAAAATTTTATTTCAAATGAAAACCATATTTAAAACTTGAAGTCTGCTCTTCATACATAGATATTTAAAATTCTTTTTTAAAAAGTGTGATATTTTATGTTAATTCCCTGTGTATTTTGACATGAAATGTCCATCAGAAACCAGGAAGAAATTCTTTGTACATAGAAATAGACACTCGGGAATATAAATCTGCAATTAATGGTTTGTTAAGCTAGTTATAGTTGACCATGTTTAATGGCATTGAACTTTTTAAATTGTGGAGTGATTGTTTATAATAGAAAAGTACTCTAGATTGCTATGCTGGTTTTAAGCCACAAAACATAGCAAATTTGCCCATAGTAACATACTTAGGACATGAACAATAGGTGTAAATCTAAGTTCCTTGTGGACTAGGTACAAGACAAAAATGTACCAAGTATATGTTATGTACTGTACTAAGAGAGCATTTATATCTGCTCTCTCTCTATTCAACCAAACTGAATGGCAACTTATCCATTGGTATTGTGCCCTCAACAGTAGAAAATTTAGAACAAAAGTGTTATGACTATTCTTTTAAGTAATTTGCTAGTTTTTTGTAATTTTATGTAATTCTTAAATAATATCTGAGTGATTTAGTCAAGAATTGATTTACATTCACGTACTTAAAACAATTTACATTATTCTAGATTATACAACTCCTTAACAAGTGTTAGATTTTAGCTTTTTAAAGAATTCATTCCTGATTCTCAGTGATAACAATAATACTTGTGTCTGTTTGTATAGTAGGAAGTAAGTTAGGAGAACTGTATTCACTCTGCAAGGAATTGAGTACTTTAAAAAATGTGTCTAATTTTTAAATGAAAACATCTTTTTCAAGTTAAATGGACTAGGAAGCCGACCCATGAAATATGAGGTATGGAAATCAGCTTAATAAGTTTTGTGCTGGCAGTTTTCAGTCTCTTTTTTCATCAGTTTTCTGCTTCTATTATTCTCTTTTATATTCACTCATTTATCTCTTCAACCAACAGTAATTTACATAGATGTGCTGATTTGGGTGTTACAGCAGTGAATAAGATACACGTATTTTCCATAGTCAAAGAGTTTATAATCTCAGGGAAACAATGAGCAAATGTACACATTTAATTCTTTAATTGCTATTTTGATAAACACACTGAAAATGTCAAATTTTATTGATAGTAGAGCCAAGAGGCATTCCATCCTCCTCTTCTTGTTCTCCTTCCAGTACACACTGAAACAGTCTCACTCACCCTAAGGTACAGATCTGGCCAGGATGAAGAAGGGGAATGTGATGAAGGTTTTTAAGGGAGATTTTCATCTCTGACAGAAGTGATACCACTATAATTGACCACTCTTCTCTTTCTTTCTGACTTAAATGTTGTGTATAAGAATGTGAAGCCTGGGTCTCTGAGCCACCTGTGACCACAAGGCAATGACTCCAACTATCCCATGAACATGTACAGAAGGGCAGAGAACAAAAGGAAAGCTTTTGTCTTGAATAATAATTTTGAAATGTTGCTCTAATCTTGGAAGGACCTATTTTCAGGCATTCTGTGACATGAGATAATTGTTGTTAAATTTTCTTATTGCTGTAGCCATCGCCTTTGGCTAATCTATTACTTGCAGCCAAGTGCACCTGTACATGACACAAAAAACGTAGGGAGACCTGAGATGTTCCAGGTGGCAGGAATAGGACATGCACATTCTTCAAGAAAGGAGAGTCTTCTTTTAATTTTAGAAACTGAAAGTTTATTGTGGCTGAAGTGCAGAGAATCATATGAAGATTGATGTGAAATGTTTAATCAGTGGCTGTATCATGCAGTATCTTAGAAACATTTCTAATGCTTTTAAAGCTTTTCTTTCTTTCTCTTCTCTTCTTTCTTTCTCTTCTTTTTTCTTTCTTCTTTTTGGTACCGGGGAATCAAACTCAGGTCTTTGCGCTTGTGAAAGCAGGCAGCGGAACCAGTGAGCTAAATCCCTGGCCCTAATGCTTTTAAATTTGATCTTCAGAAAATGGAAGAACTTTAAACCATAGAGTAATCTAAAAAGGTTTTCATGATGAATCAGGGATTTAACTCATTGGTGCTGCTGCCTGCCTCGCATGTGTAAGGTCCCTAGTTCTATGCCTGGTACTACAAAAAAACAACAGCATTCCTGAAAAGATTTTCATGAATGAGGGAGGGGGATAGATACAAGCTCGGGGGAGGGGGGGTGCAGTGCTATTTAAGCACTAGTTTATGGCAAGAGTTGAAAAACATGAAATTTGACATTTCTTAGCTGTTGAAGAAGCAGGGCTGAACTACCACTTACATATCAGCGAAGCAGATGTCATGTTGCTCTCTGATTACTGATAATGGCAACTGAATGAATGGTTCTATTTAGAAAGATGGAGAAGATCTGTGAAAGAAATATGTTTATTTCGGTGTTGGATGTATTAAATTTTAGTTTCCCATGAGGTGTCATGTGAGGATGTCACATTTAACACATTGAGTGAATCTAGGAAAAGAGGTGTGGGTTAGAAAAGACTATTAAGGAATTGTTGACATACAGATGATAACCAGGGTGATAGGAGCAGATTGGATGCCTTGGAAAGAACTATGGAATGAGAAGAGATCCCAAAAGTTAAGCCTCAAGAGCCTCAGAGTCTGAATTTGGTAGAAGAGGGAGAAGACCCTGTGAAGGCTAAGTGTGTTAGTAGTTATGTTTTGGTTATTGCTAAGACAAAATACCAACGCCCAAAGTTGAAGGGGGAAAGGTTTATTTGGCTTACAGTTCATAGAGGTTTCAGTCCATGATTGGCTGGCTCCAAGTGAAGGTGGCTGGCAGCCAGGTATTGCAGGGGAGAAACAACATGGAACACACAATGTTGCAAAAGCAACAAGAGACTTTAACAGCATCTTTTTGCCCCCTTTATCCCATGCAGACAACTGGGATTAGGGCGGTGCCAAACCAATAACTTACCTGCAGTAGTTTAGTAATCACACACCCTTTATTCCAGCATCATACATTTTAGATTTAGCCACCTCCAAACTAGCCTGTGGTCACATAAGGCTTTAGGGGGACATCTAGACACAAGCCATAACACTGAATCATCATAGTCAGGGCAGTTGTAGAAAGACCAGGGAAGAGTGATACCAATGAAACTGGAAAACAGAGAGAGAAAAGACTTTTTTCACTGATCACAAGGTTCATGACTGGCACCCCTATCTCAAAAGACAGATGAACAAGAGAAAAGCATAACAAGTATTTAACTAAAGTTTTATTTGCCATGGGATCTTTTAGAAAGAAGGCCACACATCCAGTGAAAACTGAGTATTTTATGGTTGCTTAGATAGAAGCGTAATTGTAGGACAGCAGGGTGTGGTCACATGAAAACAAACTGGGAGAACTCAGCAAGTCTTGTTTGTTCAGATTCTTCTTGCTCTCTGGATGAAGGGGCAGCACTCCTGTGGAGTGAGGGTCTTTGGGTTTACTGTCGGGGGGAGGAAAGCCAAATACTTTTTTAAAATATCTGATTGGGGAACAATGGCAGGAGAAGGTCAGAGAGTGATTGCCAAGATGCCATGTTCTGGGCTTATGTTCAGAGCCTCACCAGGTGTCAGGTCACAATCTAAGTGCCACATCCTTAAGGAAGAGCTCCTTGACTTACCAAGGCAAGCTAACTTCTCTCCTTTATTCTCTCTCAAACTTTGTTGCCCTCCTTTGACATTTTTGTTACTATTTGTAATTATAATTTCTCACAAAAGGTTTTCCTTTCCCCCTAGAATATAAGCTGCAAGAGGTCATCAAATGCACTAATCTACCCAGTGCCTAGAAAGTATTCAGTACAACAAAGACAGAAAAAACAAAACAAAACTAAAGTTTTTTGAAAAAATGGGTGATTGACTAAATCCACTAAAAATCCTCAGAAATATTTATCTTCGTGTCAGCAATAACTAGGCATTTTCAATTTTTCCCCATCCCAAGTTACTGTTTTTGAGCACTGTAAGAGACAGTGATTAATATTATTGCTGGTGAGTTCTCTTGTTAATGCCCTCAGATAGGGCTTGTGAATACCTCTGGCAGTAATTGATAGTGATTTTAATTTGGACCCACTGCTTCAACTGATGTAAGGGGATAACTCTAGTTCAAAGAAAGCCAATTACCCAGTGAATGCACTGCTGTTGAGGGTAAAATGAACTCCCTAATTTGTACCATCAC